GAAGTCTTTGACAACTTCAGTTTGTTCTCCATTTATCATGATGTTATTTATTGGTCCACTTCTGAGGAATTTTGTTTTTTTTACATTGATGTAGGCAACTTATACTGAAGGCTGTAGTTTTTGATCATCATCACTAAGTTATTGCAAGTCCTCTTTGCTTCCAGCAAGCATGGTTGTACCATCTGTATATCACAGTTTGTTAATGAGTCTTCCTTCAATGCTGATGCCATAAATAAAATTGATTTCTTAATTTTCTTTCCCCATCTTCACCCCTCTTCCAAATACTTTCAACATCTTAGAGAAAGCTGTTTGTTATCAAGAACACAAAAGGAAAAGGGTGTTAAAGACCTTCTTACCTCTTAGATGGAAGCACGCTGGCCATCTTAGGTTCATTCCCATTTTAGGACCCTGCCCAGATGGCCACTTCCTCTCCACAGTCTCCCAAGTGCTGTCAGTGCAGCAGGGCAGGGCTGAGCTGCACATCCGCTCCTTTACATTCTGTTTGCATATCAAGTTTCCTGGGGCTACTGTGATTTTCACTGCAGAGAGGGCTTGGCATCTTGTGAGGAGAGGAGATGAAAGCCGGCCCTGGGAAGGGAGCTGCTCCTCAGACACACACCAGCAGAGCAGTAGCTTCTTGCCTTGCCCAGAGTGCTTCCGTTTCATTCAGTATCAAAGGCTTAGTCTTTGGGGAGGGAACAAGTGATGGAGTCACTTTAGACATTAAAATAGAGTCCTTGACATCTGGAAGAGTTGGAGTTTTGTACCCTTTGATCTAAGGCCCCAGCTTCTTCCCACTCATTTCAGTGGCCTGTGATTGTGTTACTAGGTTTGAGAGCATTCATTCCCTTTGTTTTCACCCTCATTCCATATTTTATATAAAATAGTGTGTTTGCATCTAGTTTGAATTTCATTTCATGAACTGTATGACACTTAGAGTCCTGGTGTAAGATAAGCACCGGACTGCTAACCACAGAGTTGTCAATTCAAAACCACCAGCTGCTCCTTGGAAACCCTATACAGGGTTGCTATGAGTCGGAACTGACTTAACAGCAAACCGATGACAGGAAGCATGAACTGATGGTGGTAGCCTCTTGGCTCTGCATATGTCCCCATCTGTGTTATAAATGAAAAATGTTGAGCTTGTTTCTTGGCTTGCTAGATAATTTTGTAGGACATACAGGGCCCCTGCCCTTCAGGTTTTCACACTGTAGCCAGGAGTTCTTAACAGACAGGCATCTAGAGGGAATCTATGCCAGATTTCTTGGGCTTCTTGAACATCCTAAATTTTATGCAAATGCTTGTGCAGATTTTGTTTCAAGGCAGCCGTGATCAAATAATGGTTAAGAATAAATGGAAGTTTTAAGATCCTGAAATTGAACTAGGTAGGTCCTTTAATCAATACTTATTAATAATGATGTTGATTTATTGTATGTATTATGTATTTATTTATTTATTAAGGAAATTGTCCTTAAAACTTGTGTTTTAAAGCCAGCCTGTAGCTGAATGTCACTCTGCAGTGGGTATCTGATTCAGGACTTGTGTGGGTGCCTTTTATGCCCCAAATGCTTATGTGGAAACCAAAGGAAAACAGAAGAGTGCCATCTAGAGGTCGTAGTAACAATTTCACAAGTTTTGCATTAGGCCCAAGCCTTCTCCCTGCACAGGGGTTTTTAGGCTTTAGCAGCTTTCTAAATTAAGAACGCACTTTTCTTTCAAGCAAATGCAGACCAAAAATGTGTGTTGATGATATTTATAATCTATACAGATGCTGCAATTGCGGGGCCTAGCTTTGCTATCCTGGAAGCATACTTTTAACAAGTTTAATGTTATAAATGCCATTTCCTCTATTTTATAGGCAGTCTTTAGAATCTAACTGCATTTGGATAAACTTTTAATCATAGATGAGTGAGCAAATTTTGGATGCCTAATATAGAATCATTTTGAAATGAGGACTTTGTATTTCCTCTTAAAGACAGAATAAACTAAAAAATAAGAGTAATTCATCTTAACTACTCTTAACTGTTGCTTTCAAGACAGTGGAATAGAATGGTATTTGTTAAGTGGTGTTGACATTTTGGATATTGCAGAGTTGGATTTTATCCTGGAAAATTACATCATTCGGAATTATACCCATGTGAAAATATATACCAGAGTAGTTAGATATGCCCTGGAACTCTGGTGGCGCTGTAGGATAAGCACTGGACTGCTAACGACAAGGTGGGTGGTTCAAACCCACCAGCTGCTCCTCCAGAGAATGCTAAGACTTTCTGCTCCCATATGAATTCACAGCCTCGGAAATCCTACACAGAGTCACTATGAGTCAGAATTGACTTGATGGCAGTGGGTGGGTTTGGAGTCCTGGTGCAGAGCTGTAGGATAACCATAAGGTCCGCCATTCAAACCCACCAGTAAGACCTTGGAAACCCTATTCCGGGTCGCCATGAGTCAGAACTAACTCAACAGCACTTAAAACAATGGTTATTTAATTTCTCAAAATACTGATATCTTCATTTATAAATGGGGTTAAGAATAGGAGTCGTGATGTGGTGCTGTAGGATGAATACTGGACTGCTAACAGCAGCTTCTTCTTGGAAACCCTACACAGAGTTGCCATGAGTCAGAACTGAGCAGCAGTTAACAACAAATGATAGTATCTAACTTAAGGTTGTTATAAAGATTCAATGAAATGAAGTTGTAATAATTTATCATTATTATTATCATTAACCAGTTGATTATTTCAGGACAGTTCTAATAAAATCAAAGACTCAATCTTTAAAACCTGTATCTTACAGAGGATGTTTTCTTTTTAGAAGCATTTCTCACTTGATTAGGGTAAACTGTCAATAAATAAGCATTTATTCATACATTGAGTAGATATTTATTCAGCTTCTACTAGAGTAATCACCATTCTTTAGACTGGGAATTTGGCACTGAGTTCAGTGGTCAAGACAGACCCAGACCGTCAATGGTGGTGAGACAGTTAGACAATAAACAAATAAATAAACAAGATGATTATACCATGATACACGTTATGAAAACAGTGTAGTGTTAGGATGATTAGTTTGTTGTTGGTAAGTGCTGTGGAGTCGATCCTGTAAAGGTTTCTGAGGGAGCGGCTGGTGAGTCTGAACTGCTGACCTTGTGGTTAGTAATCCAGTGCTGATCCTACAGTACCACACTAGGAGTCCTTAGTCCTGAGATTAGGTGGTTGTTGTTGTTGTGAAGTGCCTTCAAGTCGGTTCCGACCCATAGTGACCCTGTGTAGGGTTTGCTAGGAGCAGCTGGTGAGATTGAACCGCTGACCTTGCAATTCAAATGGCTTTACAGTCTGGTGCATTAACCCACAGCGCCACACCAGGACTCCTTAGATTAGGTAGCCAGGGTAAAATTTTCTGAGGAAGTGACAGTTAAGATCTTACTTGAATGGCAAGGAGCCAGCTATGTAAAGGTCTAAGGAGCAGCCATTCCAGTAAAGGAAGTAACAAGTGCCAAGGCCTTGGCAGGGGGAGGGGGGAGGTGTGTTATATATGTTCAAAGACTAGAAAGAATACCTCGTGGCTGGAGCTTAGGGGGCAAAGGGGGGAGTCACAGGAGATGAGGTCAGAGAAGTTGGTAGCACCCTGATAGGCCCAGGGCTTTGAATTTTCTTCTAAGAGTATATGGGAAGACACAGAGTTATACACAAGGCAGTGATATGCTCCACACTGATGAGGTGGAAAAACCCCTTTGCTTCTGTTGGGATAATAGGTTGTAAAGGAGCAAGAATAGAAGCGGAAAGACAGGTTAGGAGACTTTTGCAGTAGTCTTGGCAAGAGATGGTAGTGGCTTGGATGAAGATGTTGAATTAACGACTCAGAGATTTGGATTACCATCCCCACCACAATTCTATGCAGTAAAGCAGCAGCATAGCATCGTGCTTAAGAGCACCAGTTGACGAGTAAGACTGGTTTAAAATCTGGCTTACTAAGCATGTGGCCTTGGACAAATTTTTCTACTTCTTTGCACTTGACTTTTAGCTTCTGTGAAATAGATAGGGCAACAGTACCGTCCTCCTAGGATTGCCTTGATGATTAAAGGAGGCTATAATTGTAACCACCATAATTGTAAAGTACTCAGAAGTATACTCTACAGTTACCATCATCATCATCATCACCTCCATCACGACGACTACTCCCCCATCATCTGCAACACTCCCAATTTACAGATGAAAAGATTCCAAACTAGAGGATAGTTTTAAAATCAGAATAGAGGCCTCTTGACTTTAAATCCATTTTTTTTGGGTGCAATACAATATGTAATGAAACCCCAGAGGAAACTAATGTCTGTTGATTTGAATCTATATAGTTCACAATGCACCTGTGAACACTTCAATGACATTGAGAAAAGCAATTATTAGATGGGGGTGGTGTCTGTGTTTCTCTCTCCCACACTCTGTATAGCATCAGAAATGTCAGATTTCTTGGGCTTTGAAGAAAGCTATTGGACACCTAAGCCAAAAGCATTAGTATGCATGTAAGAATACATACATGTAGGAGGCTAGAACTGAATATTTTGAGAACCTTGTAAGAAACAATTTCGCTAGGAGTCAATTAATTCTTCACTAACTGGGTTAAATGGGTCCATACATAACATGAGGGGGCTTCAAAAAGTCACAGAAAAAATGAAATGAAGATAATGGACTTTTCCCAGAAATGTTTTGAAGCCCCTTATATAAATAAATGAAATCCATGGACCATTCACAGATTTTTTCTGGTTGGGCTTATAGTGAAAGTACTAGTCAGTTGCCAGATGTAAATTTCTCCATCATCTCTTTCTGCTTTTGTTTGCGCAGTCATTTTTTGGACTAAGCAGTGAAGTGGGTAGGATCAGAGCTCAAGAGAGACAAACATAGAAGGATGAAACTTGAAAATCCACTGCTCACATTGTCTCATAGTTTCTTTGCACCACCGGTACCTCCCTTCACCCAGGATTGAAGGCGGGCTGTTTGTCTGTTGCAGAATGTGAGCACTTGATCCGCCACATGCTGGTGTTAGACCCCAGTAAGCGCCTCTCAATGGAGCAGATCTGCAAACACAAGTGGATGAAGCTAGGGGACGCGGATCCCAACTTTGACAGGGTGAGCTGGGCACTGCTTGCCTGAGGCAGCTGCTCTTAGAGTTGACGCCACTGCAGGCTCTTTGGTTGTGTGTGACCTGAAATGGTGGGCATTGGGAACAAACTTGTGTAATGCTCACGTAGCAAGTGGAGCAAGCCAGAAGAAATTTAAAACCTGTTGAATCGTTTGGTGAAGAGTAATACTAGTTCCATGTCATTTGTCCACAAATCACAGTCCTTTCCTGGCTTTTAATAAAGCTACACTCACCTACTACTTGGATTGCTCCTTTATCTTGTCTTAGAGTTCAGTTTAATGGCTCCTGTATCAAACCTCTATTTAAATCACATGGCCATCTCAGGTACCCCAAGGAGGTCAGGAAACAAAAGATCTTGCCTGCTCACAGCTGAACACCCAGGCCTATCTTGTTTAGGTTCTGTCTGAGGCCACGGTGGGTGATAGACATGAGAGATGTAAAACATTGTACGTTGGAACTCCGGGCACGCCCTGACTCCTGGCCTTTCAAACACAAGTCAGATCCCAAGCTATGGATGGAGATAGTAACATGGACATAGAACTGCTTGATCGCTGCATACGCTGTGTTACGTTGGTGTGGTTAATTGGAGGTTTAATAGCTTACTTTTAATGATTTACAGTTAATAGCTGAATGCCAACAATTAAAGGAAGAAAGGCAGACAGATCCCCTGAATGAGGATGTCCTCTTGGCCATGGAGGACATGGGTCTGGACAAAGAGCGGACACTACAGGTATCTCTAAAGGAGTGGAGTGTAAAGTGAAGTCTAATGGTTTCCCTTCTATCCTGTTTTCCCATTTGTTCTCCTTGTTGGAAATTTTGTTGTTTACTTTCTTCCTGCTCTTCTTTCTTTGGACCCCCTCCTTCCAGGTCATAGAAAGAAGGAAGGAAGGTGCTTTGGTGTTCTGTTACTATTAGAAGGGTTTTGGTCAGTGGACTGCCATTTCATCAGGTTTCTGCACTCTTTCCCCTTCTCTCTTGCTAGTCGTTAAGGTCAGACGCCTATGATCACTATAGTGCCATCTACAGCCTGCTGTGTGACCGACACAAGAGACATAAAACATTGCGGGTTGGAGCACCTAGCATGCCCCGAGCTATGGCCTTTCAAACACAAGTCAATATCCAGGTGGGTAATAACCCCAGTGACCTGATTTAGGGTGAGTAATACCAAGGCGAAGGGCTGGCCATTGCTCACTGACCCCAAACCAAGAGGATTTTTCTATCTTTACTTTCCTCTGCTCCCTCTTAGCAGAGATCAGACAAAGATCTCCTCATTTGAAGGAGAAGATGGAAGGGTATTCCAGTACTTGGGATGGGCAATAAAGTTGCTTTTTGTTTTAAGAAACAGCACATCATTAGAAGAGACTGTCTTCTCTAAAGAATATCTCGTCGTTATGGCTTGTAAGGGTCAGGGGTAGAAATGTAGACTGTAGCAATCAAGACTACGTAAAAGACTTCTGTGCATATTAAGGCATGTATGTCTGTGTCTGCTGCCTTCCAGGCGGAGCAGGCAGGTACCACAATGAACATCAGTGTTCCCCAGGTGCAGCTCATCAATCCAGAGAATCAAATTGTGGAGGCAAGTAGCAGCTGGTCATTGTCAGGTGCAACCCCTTTCTTTGCCATAGTTTTCCTTCCTTCCTTCCCTTTTTTCTAATTAAATTGTGTTTTCTCCACCTCAGGCGGATGGGACAGTGAACTTGGACAGTGATGAGGGTGAAGAGCCTTCCCCTGAAGCATTAGTCCGCTACTTGTCAATGAGGAGGCACACAGTGGGGGTGGCAGACCCACGGTGAGTGTCTGACCAACAACCCTGATTAACAACAGGGCTTTTCCCACCTCACTTCCCATTTCTACCCGGGCACATTTTCCCTCTTCATTGTGTCCCCCAGAAGAGAGGCCAAGACAGGTATGTATCTAGTGGCCAAGACAGGTATATAACCCAATTTTGGGTCCCTGTAGTTCAGACTTGATTTGACGAAGAATAATAAAGCTGTCCTTAGTGTATGATGGGCTATTAGCCAACATCACGCTAATTAAATACTTTGGTGAAGACCATAGTAGCATCTTTGCCCATAAAGATTGAGGTCCTCTAATCTGAATACATGAAACTACCCCTCGAAATTTATCTGATTTTGACATGTTTTTAGAGATGTTGTTTGTTTCCTAATGTTGTTTGTTTTAGAGATGTTCTAATTCAAGACTAATGTAGGTAGATAAGGACAAATGATACAATGTAATATATGTATTGTTATTGTTAAGTGCCGTGGAGTCAGTTCCGACCCATAGCAACCCCAAACAGGGTTTCTGAGCCTGTAAATCTTTACGGGAGCAGAAAGCCTCATCTTTCTCCCGCGGAACCGTTGGTAGTTTCGAACTGCTGACCTTGAGGCTCACAGCCCGATTCGTAACCACTACGCTACCAGAGCTCCTTATATATGTATGGAAACAACAAATTAAGTAACCAAGAATCCAAAAACTACTAAACAAGGTACCAGTTTCCATAAGTGTTTTCCCAAAGCAAGATGGTCTCTGTTTCCATCACACAGTGGGAATCATCTGTTCCATCCTTGAATGTCCTGAAGGCCAGCTCTCTCCATTTTTGTTGTACAATAGAGACTTTCAATGTCAAGAATAGCTTTACCTCTTTGAGGAATATTTTCTTTACTGAGTGGGGAAGGGAAGGTTGTGGCAAGAATTCTCTTGAAAGTGCAACCGACGGGAGAGCTGGTTTTCTTATAAATAATCTCTTCTTTGAGTGAATTTCCAAAACAGCCTCCCTTGCTTTACGTTTCTAGTTCTCAGCCTACGAGCTAACAAGTAATAGGGGGAACGTTCTGGCTCCATAGCTGCAAAGGGGTGGAGTTCTGTGTCTCTCTGTTTGTGGAAAGATCTCTTATTTTAAAGCATGCTGTAAAACCTACTGTTGTAGCATGACAGCCCTGCACATCCAGTACTTAGCAATTCTATCATCACTGACAAGAGCAATTGCATTCTTTCCCTGATGAATCAGTTGCTACTTTGGGCAGCCATTGTTTTAGCGGATGGCCTATGTCCTCCAGAAACTAGCTGCTCACCTCCAAACTTCAAAAACCGGACTTGGGCTATTGCCAGTATTTCCTCTCAAACTCAGCTTTTGGTTTTACTGAGTCGTCAGTGAAGACTAGTGCTTCCCAATCCCAAAGAGTAAAATGACAGACAGTAAAGTCCCACATGTTAGGTTTCTGTTTTGCCTTGGGAACATAGATAAAACTACAAATTCAAGAAGAAAGTTAAAAATCAGTGACTAGATATATTGTGTTGAATTCTACTGTTGCTATCAATTTTGGTACCGAAGTACTTTTGAATAATCCTATTAATCAGACATCTCCTTCATCCTGTTTTTGTCAGCACGGAAGTTATGGAAGATCTACAGAAGCTCCTCCCTGGCTTTCCTGGAGTCAACCTGCAGGCTCCCTTCCTGCAGGTGCCTCCTAACATGAACTTCATGCACAACCTGTTGCCCATGCAAAATTTGCAACCAACTGGGCAGCTTGAGTACAAGGTACCTGGATATGGGAGAGGGCTTGCCCCAGAAGAAACCAGCTTCTACTTCCTTTGAGAAGCTTTGAGACCTTCCTCAGGATTTAACGGTTTCCTTATAGAAATGGGGATTTCTCTTGTAGAACAGTTTCGGGGGCATTTCTCTAGTCTAGATCACCACCAAAAGATCCCTTAATTTCTGTAGATTAGAGAATGGCTGTTTTCTCCCCTACTGGTTTCCCCATCTCATTAATCTATCCTTCCCACTCTCCCTGGCAGGAGCAGTCCTTATTACAGCCACCCACCCTACAGCTGCTGAATGGAATGGGCCCCCTTGGCCGGAGGGCATCAGATGGAGGAGCCAACATCCAACTGCACGCCCAGCAGTTGTTGAAACGCCCACGGGGACCCTCCCCACTTGTCACCATGACACCAGTGAGTAGCCACACAGAGCTCGATTTACTTTCCTAGAGGTCTGTGGTAAGGACGACGTGGGCTTAGCTTTGGGAATCTAGGGAGTCTCTAACCATATGTATGAATTTCCTCTTTAGATTTATGATGCTCAATATATATCCATTTTCTTTAGGCTAGTAGAATTTCCCAGACTTTATCTTTGGATAACTCCCTTACTTATACAAATATTTTTTGATACTGAACCTTCCCTGGAGAGCCTTATCTGCAAGTAGGTCACACAGAGTCACCCTCTATACAGCAACATTCCTGTCAGCCTCCAGGCAGGGTGGCATCAGTGTAGCCCAAAGCTTCCTCAGAGATCATTTTTCTTTGTTAGAAGGCAGTTGACTAGAACTGCTCCCTCTTTATGCAGCTGCTTTTAATGTTGGTTTCTAAGATTACCTTCTCACCAACTCTTTCTTCTTTGATCAACATACCTCACATTTTGGGTATAATCTGGAATCACTTGATTGTTGGGCTTTTACAAGTTCTTTCCTAGTCAGTCCCATCTTTTTTTATGATGGCCGTCTTCAAAGATGTTTTTTCTTTTGGGTTCTGCTTATTCCTGGTTATTTGTTTTCCTCTCGTAAGTCAATCCATTCATTCCTTTACATATTCAATCTCACAGTATGTAAGATTGGGTGCTAATTATATCCATTGCCCACGTTTGATGTTTTAGTGCCGTGGCTCCCAGTGCTTTGTTTTTTTCCTTCAATCCATCATGGATTCATAATTTTATAAATGATAGTAAAAATGAATGATTAGAAAAAGTGAAAACTTAAAAACATATAAAATATGGCAATATCTTATTCAATTTAACAGACAAAATTGCTCTGGTAAATTTTTGTGAAAGTTTATAAAAGCTTGTATTTGATTTCTCTGCTGACACCTTATCACAGATTGGTAACAAACCAGTTTGTGGACCCACATGGTCCATGGGCCACCCTTTCAGTTACACTGCTACCAATCAAGTGAAAGAATGATGTGTTAGTCCTTGGCCTCGCTGAGCTTAGCATGATTTGGATAATAATAAAAGACCATGTCTGACTAGCTACTGAAGTGACTAACCCGGACTGTGGTGGCAGAGCTATTAGGGAAGGGCAGGATCGATGTAGGTCATGAAGGCTCAGGAGTATAAGAGGTCTGCTGTACTGTTTTAGCCAAGGGCTTTGACAGACTCTCAGTGTACATCCCATGGACACTTATTAAGTCTCTCATTTTGGATCTACCACTCTGCTAGTCACTGTTAACCATTTCTCCTTGAAATACTTTCTTCCTCTGGCTTCTATGACACCAGAAAGAATCCTACCTCTCCTTCTCAGGCCCATTTTCTGCTGTTCCTTGAAGTTGGCAAAATCCCGAGTTTTGTCTTAGGCTCCGTTCTCATGTCCACTCTCATTATTTCTGTTGCTATCTGATGCTCCAGTCCAGAATGCTTTCTTCTGAGTTCCACACATCAGACTACATGACTGCCAATGGGACAGGTTTAGTCGGTTATCCCATTAGTGCTGACAGTTATAATTCAGCATGTCCCCAAACAAATTTATCATGACTCTGTGAAACCTGTTCTCCTCTCCCCTCCTCTGAGGTCCATGTGAATGTCACTGTCATTCTCCTGGTTACAGAAGCTAGAAGCATGGATTTTGCTTTCATTTTAATCCTCTTCCTCCCTTACTCCCCGTTGAAAATCACTTATCCAACTCCTGTGAATTCAACTTCTTACTTCTCCCCATCCCCACGACCCTTTCCTTTCCTCAGGCCACTGTCAGCCTCTGCCTTGATTTGCACAGTGGTTTTCTGGCTTCCAGTCCTGCCTCCTGATCCCCACTTGCCAGCCCTTTTCACACTGCAACTAAAGTGAGCTAGCTTTGTAAAGTAAATCTTATAACATCATGTCCCTGTTTAAAACCCTTTAGTGATTCATCCTCCCTGAAAATAAACTTCTTAATGTGGTATTCAAGGCCATTTATAGCTGGTCATCGTGTTCATCTCTGGCCTCAACTGTAGCCACTTCCTGCCTAACCCTGTTTACTCTGCCATCATGGGGCAGTAATAAAGGGTCTGGAAACCCCAGAGACATTCAAACAATGGAATTATTCTCCCTAAATAAAAAAAGTTCTTTTGTTTTCTTTTTTTTTTTTGTAATGATCATCATTTTTTAAATGCTCCTCCATTCTACTTGAAATATGAATCTTGCTGAGATGGGATTCTGTGACCCACTAGGCTATGAGTAGATAGATACACATGGCATTCCAGCCCGCACTTAAAGGATAGGTGATTCACAGCAGTGCGCACGACGTGGCAGTTCTTTCTCTTCTATGTTTTGGTGGGGAAAAATTAAACACTCAGGCATATATAATAATTTACACACCCAAAGGCATATTCCATTATCTTTTAATTCAATTTTCCACAAATGTTTTGAAGCCCCCTCCTATAGATTTTTTTTTTTCTAGAGTTAAAATATCTAAACTCTGCAAGTAGACTTAGTATAAAACAGGCTAGTTCTGAGACATTAAAGTGTAAACTGTCTTCTACTCATCTTCCAGTTCTCTAACACCTGCAGGCCATCTCTTTTCTTAGTCTAGCACACTGACTCCTCTCCCTGTTTGCCCGGCCAACTCCTATTCATCCCTCATGTCGGGCGTCACCTCCTCTGGGGGATGCCTTCCTAGATTCCCAGATGCCCCATTAGAGGACTTGGTCATGCTCTTTTGTAACTTTTTACCTATCTTTGTCCTCCACTTGGTAAAAATGAGGGCAAAGATTGTATCTGTGAATTCACATTTTATCCTGGAGCATAGTAAGTAGTTCAGCTATTTGTTGGATCAGAAACTGAATGAAGATAAATTAAGGGAAAAAAAAAAGATGAATTAAGAGGAAGATGTCTCAGTTAATACCACCTGAGCAAGGGAAAAATAGAAAGGCATATGAAAGTTTTATATGACCCAGGACTCCTAGGAGAGTTTTGCAGATAAGAAACACTAACAGAAAGGTCTGGCCCAAGTTTGGTTTCTAGAATAGGAGACATTACAGAAAAAGCCGCCACCTTGAGCTTTTCCTTCCTGTTTCTCCTCAGGCAGTACCAGCAGTTACCCCTGTGGACGAGGAGAGCTCAGATGGGGAGCCAGATCAGGAAGCTGTGCAGAGGTAATGTGACATCTGGCAGTACTTGCAGAACGTCCTTGGGCAGGCTCCCCCTGCAACCAACGAACGGTCACCTCCGCCCAAGGAGGTGGTACAGTGCAGCTTCAACATTTGTGTGGTCTCTTTGCTCAAGCCAGATGGCATGTTCCTCCCCACATGGAAGTCCACAGAAGACTACCCAGAAAATTCCATTTCTGTAAACGCCATTGGAAGTCCCCTAAGTGACAGCAATAACCCTAAGAACTTTTTCTCTCCTCCCTCCTTCCTTCCTTGCCCCCTGCCTTCATATTGCAACTCTGATAGTATTCACAAGGCACAAAGCCCGCTCCTACCTGCCAAGAACTGTTTACTGAAAAGGAATTGGAGATTTGGGATGACAGTGATCCTAGCTAGTCTGGCCATGGACCTCTGGCATGAACTCTTCCTTTCCAGGAGAATGAATACCTCTTGTACTGCTTGTTGTGAGCTTCTGGGCTTCTTCCACCCCCTGTACCAACAAAGATATATTGAGGAAAAAAAAAGAATATGGAATTTGGTCCAGGGACAGAAGCCAATATCCATTGTTTGCAGAACCTTGCTGAGAGATGGCTAATTCACAAAACATGGCAAGGACCTTCAGGCCTGCTGTACTGTCGTGTCACCTCAGTCCCATTAGCTGTGGTCCTCAGCTCCATGCATGTCCCCTTGTGGGAGTTGTCTTTGATTTTCTGGGGAGGGGGCTTGGCCAGAATCCAGCATGTATTTTCCCAGAAATACAGGTGTTCTTCAAGATTATATGTTTTTTCCCTTGAGGGAAGTTGAAATAAAATGGTTTTCATGGGCTCTTGGGTAAACTTTGGGTGTCTTTATAAAATGAATTATTATAGACCACTAATGGCTTATTCTTTGGCAAGTTTACATACCACTAGTATAATCTGTTAACGGTTTTTAGCTTAAATAGGCAAAGTTGTTAAAATGAAACAAGACCATTTTCTAAGAACCTGGCAGTGACTGGCCAGTACTGTCTTACAACCTCCAGTAGCTCGGTATGAGAGAGAGCTGCTGTTTAAAAGGAAACTGCTAGTCTCATGTGGAAGGGGAGAAATTAAGTTTGACAGGTGATGGCAGGTAGGCCATCTCCTGTACAGTTTAGCAAGTAGCAGAACAATTGTGGTAACTTTCATTTTTCTTCTATTGATGCTGTGAATGCTTTAGTTTGTTGGCAACAGAGAACATAAGGTTGTAAACGTGCTCTGCTGGTGTCCTGAAGATCAAGGAAAGAGATATGGAAATTTGACTGCCTTTTTACCTTAAACAGACAGCAATGATTTATATCTTCTTTGCCTTGGACTTCCTCCAGTTCCACCTTATTTAGATCAACATTTTAAAGGCAAACATGTCCGTCGTTTTTTTGATGTAATAAGAAGGAATAATGCTTCTTTGATTCATGTCCTTAGAATAGCAGCAGCAGAGGAAATCAGTAACCAAAGGGGACCTTACAGTGGCATTGATTACGGGGTGGGTCAGAAAGATCTTCAGAATAAAAGTCATCAGCTTGGGTACCTCTTCAAATCTTGAAACACTTCTATCTTCTTGCCTTTCCCCCCTAAAATAATTGTAAACATTTCATATGGTTTTATGTCTTCTTCATCCTCTAGGGAATGTTGGTTCCCTGGAGACAACATCAATTTTTCTTCTCTGATGATTGAGTTACAGTCATGGGGTGGTTTTGGAACTCACCTCTCCCCAAGTGCAAGGCTCTGTTTCTCTGACCTACAGTGAGGAAAGGCTCAGAATCTGGGCCTATGGGTCTCTTTCTGAGTATCTCCCTTGCCTCATCTCTAGGAATAACTCTTTATAACTCGTTTCCTCTGACTTAGAGAACCACCTTTCATTTTCATTTTAGAAAATTGGGAGAAGACAGAGCAATAAAATTAACAATATGAGAAATTCTTTCGTGGAATAAAGTAGGGAAAATGATCCTCTTATCTTAGTGAGCTAGATCTGCTTTTTCTCACTTCCCTTCAATGACTCTTAGGTTCAGAATTCAGTCGCCTCGATGGTACGCCAGCTTTTGTTGGCCAGTTAGACATATTCACTTCCATCCAGTCAGGGATCTACTTGCCAATGAGCCCTTTTCAGCTCTGGCACGATTTCATTCTGAATGCTTTGGATTAACTTCATATGCTTCTTACTGAGGAATATTCCTGTCTGTCTTTTTTACTATGAAATATGCTCCTGCTTGTTGCAGGTACTTGGCAAATAGGTCCAAAAGACATACACTGGCCATGACCAACCCTACAGCTGAGATCCCACCGGACCTACAACGGCAGCTAGGACAGCAGCCTTTCCGTTCCCGGGTCTGGCCTCCTCACCTGGTACCTGATCAGCATCGGTGAGTAGCCACATGAGCTGTGTGAGCCCCACGAGGCTCATCGGACAGGCACCCTTCTGACTGATCTTGCAGTGATGGTGACTAGTGTCACGGCTTTAAATAGGAGTCAGCTATCATCTTGAACTTACATCTCTGCAGCTCCTTGCACTAAGGAACGCACAGGGCAAAGGTTTTTCTACTGGGCCCTGGAGCAATACAAGATCCTTCTCTCTCATTATCTTGCAGACCTATTTATTGTCTGCAGTTGATGGCCATGATTCTAGATCGTAGACTCATAAATGAAATTGAACTTGAAACCTGAACATAGGTGAAGCTCTTAGAAAGCCAACTGGAAATAGAAAGATTTGTAGCTATATCAATCAACTCAACCTTTAATAACCCATCACCTTCAAAGAGTATGCATTTCACATCATGTTGCCTTTGAACAGTGAACTTGGATGTGGAGGAAGATAATCTCTTTGTGAATGGCAGAGCAGAGATGCTGTGTACCCTCTCGAGTTTTGTACTTGACAAGTCATTCTTTCAGTATCCTGATAGCAAAAATATTTTTGCTAGTCTGTTTCATGTATAATTCTTTCTCTTGAAGACAATAAAAACAAGTTTAACCTTCCTAACCAAGAAAACTTCACAAAACTGGATCCAAGAATGCCAGGAAATGTGGGGACCATGCCACTCTGCCTAAGATGATTCTCTTCCCTGAATCCCTTGATGACTAAAAATCTTACAGGTGTGTCCATCCTGAAGTTGTCCGCAAACTAACGGGACACATTTTCAAAGCCACCGTTAACGCAGTTTCTAGAGCTTACTTTATTCTAATCTCTTTGGGGGACAGTAAAAGCCATCTTACTTAGGATGGCTGAAAAGCAGTCTGTTTCCAAGGAAATTAGGTTTATAAGTTTGTTTTATAAAATCTGGCAACCAGCTCACCATGGCTGTTACCCTCTGAGTGAGCATCGGTGTACTCAGCAGACAGGTGAACTCTGAGCAGGCCGAGATACAATGAGTGCCACGTTGGCACTCTGAAAGAAGGAAGATAAGCTTCTGAATAACCCAGTAAACATAGTAAAATAACTTAGTAACGATGGTCTTAGGTGCAACAGGTAAATAAGTCTCTCAAAATTCTGGTGAGAAAGACACAGGTGTTTTTGGTTGTTTTTTTTTTTAATGAAAATCTCCCATGAACTACATTATTAATTCACATCAAAGGGTACTTTAAGTGATTTATTGGGGAGCTGCCTTTTTTCCCATAAATTTCCCATGATTTCTCAGTAGCTCTGAGCTGTATACACTCTTATCTAATAGATTTTGCATGACTGTGTTTTTCCCTGACTCCATCTTACCCTTACCCACAGCTTGACACTTAATTTTTCAGCACTTGTCTGAGTTGATGGTGTAGCTTTAAGTCCTTTGGGTATCTTTATTTAATTTTACATAGTCCTTAGATGGTATTCTGATTAAAGGAAACATGAAAATCAGCACATCTCCAGACAGGCTGTACTGCAGACCCTATATCCTGTTGACATTTGTTACTAAAGGAAGACCACATTGGCCCATAGCTCCGTTTGTGTGGTTTCCACCCTGCCTACAGTCATTGTCAAGGCCATGCCTGCTGGAAATGTGTCTGCTATCTGTTTCCATGCGAACACTTTTGGTAGAGTATTTCAGGAGTTTCCTGTGGCCAAGCCAGTTTGAAGTGAAAAAGAATGTGTTATGAGCAGAAGACTGTGTAAAGCGCTTTTGTACAAACAACATGTCTTGATGGGGTCACCGTAAGATTATGGCAGCAGGAGAGATTGTGGTTAGTCTTCAAGGAAATCGAAACAAAACAGACTGTTCAAGGCCATAAAACTGAAAATGGGTGGCCAGGAGAGGTTACTGAATTCCCTTCATTTTGTGTATTAAAGAGCATATATATCTATTCTCCTGGGGTATGACGAAGGTCAGTGTGGCGAGGGAAGAAGGGTTCTGATCAACTTTTCCAGTCTTGGAAATGTGTGATTAAAACATTTTTATTTTAATTGATTGATTGGTTTTACACTAACACAAAATGGGTTTTATAACAGTTGGACACTCAGTCCTGTTTGAAGAGAATAGTGGGAATATCAGGCTGTCCTGAGTTTGAACATGATTGTTAATAAAAATAACACACAGTTGGCATTAACAGTGCTTCCAAAACGAGCAACTACATCAGAACTGTGCCTCTGAAGTCAATGTGTTGGACACAATCTGAGCTGAAAAAGTCATTAATTATCGAGACCTGAGACTTGATAATTAATTTCTCAAATGGTAAAAGATAGTTTAACCATTTAAGAAATACAGCTTTCTGAGTGAATCCGAAATGTGTCCATTATCAGAAAACCGTGAAAGAATAGGAATCAAGTTTTAGGAGAAAATAATGCTTGCTTTAACTGAAAAAAAAATCTGAACTAGAAAACAGAAATGAAAAGTACTGAGGAAATGTTCCTGAAAGAAGCCTTTAAGGCCACTGTTTTGGGATTGTGTCCCCCAAATCACTAGTCTCTTGTGTTACTGTTTATAAATATGTTTGTGCTCATTTCATTAGCACAGCTGTATCCATTTAAGAAGACTCTAACTAGAACTCATCAGTAGAAACCTAGAGAAAAGGACTTTCACCTGCTGCCAGAGCAATCTGGACACTTGTACACAATCATCCAATTCCTCCTAGTCCCTCCCTGTCCAGAGCATTAAACTCTCTTGATAATCTGTCTCTGTCTCTCTCTTTTTTTTTTTTTTTAGCTTTTGTTTTGCTTCAGTCCAAAATGAATAACTGGCAAGGTGGTACATCATTTTACCCATAGCTCAGTATAATATTATCTCTGTCCTTGACATAAACCCTTGATCCTTTCCATCAGTTGCTGGAATGCTACCTTGGCAGTCTTTTATCTGCTCACCTCTAACTCGTAAACATCTCTTTCTGGTTAAGTCACAAGTGCAGGTGTTAGCTTCTAATTCGCATGCTGTCTTAGGCATTCCTTATCAATAGCTTGTTTTCTTTCTTTCTGTAAGATAGTGGCTGTGTTCTGATTGAGCAGTGGGCTTGTGCAGGTAATCCACATGATCCCTCCTAACTAGGAGGTTGGAGGGTGCTGCTGTTTGAGAAGTTGATTTTCACAATAGGTGTCCTTATGGTAACACGCAGAACCTTGAGGCCTACGTTCCTTACAAATGTGCCTTTTCCAGCCTCAATATCAGATGTCCTTATTTTCCCCCACTACCCATCTTTCAGTACAGAGCCTACAAGTTCCAAGCCAGACCTTTGACCATAAGAGCTGACTATAGTCCTACAGAAACTGCTGCTCAGAGAAAACTTTGGGTCAGATGGTGGCTTTTAGGTTTATAAAGCACTAGATAGAAATGGCTGTCAAAGGAAGAGGTCCTGTACATCCTGACCCAGGGCCTATTGAGAAGCTCTTCTCTCTGGCACCCCCAGTGTATTGTAAGAACTGGAGACATTTGATCCCAGGACCTCATCAAACATGGAAATTAAACCAACTAAAGGTAAGTGGGAATGGAAGGTGTGTACCTGAAGCTCTGGAAGGGGAAGCAGGGAGGAAAACAGCTGCCCTGTGGAAATGATGTAGTATGCAGGGGTGTATATGCAGCCAGTCGTCTTTGTTCATCTGGAAAGCAGTCCCTATGTGATTTGTTCAGAACCCAAAGCCCCTGAGTCCTAGCCCCTAACCTTCTCTTCCCATGTATTCAGCTCTACCTACAAGGACTCCAATACCCTGCACCTCCCTACGGAGCGTTTCTCCCCTGTGCGCCGGTTCTCTGACGGGGCGGCAAGCATCCAGGCCTTCAAAGCGCACCTGGAAAAAATGGGCAACAGCAGCAGCATCAAACAGTTGCAGCAGGTAATGGAAGAGATGACAGGCATCTCCGAAGAAGCATGGGTGACAGAGACCAGTATTGCAGGAGGACTGGGGCGTTAAACTTTCGACCCTCTTCATGTCAGCAACAATGCAGTTTCAGAGGTTGCAAAAAGTATAGCTTTCTAACAATCTTTCCTTACTTCTTGTCATGTACAGCTCTTCGCAGGATCAAACTTGCTTACCCTATGAAGGGACTAAGTTTTTCTCCTGGAGAGAAATGCCTAGGCTTGGGCTATCAGTGGGAAACACCAAAGAAAGTACTTCTAAGTAACCTTGGCATTCTTCCAGTTATTCATGTGTGGCTGACCCTTGTTGGAACCTACTCTACATTGTTACTACTTGGAATACTCTCCCAGTTGGTGTGGAGTGATGCTCCCACAGGAAGGAAGTATAGCTCCAGGCTACTTTAATGGGCCAATTTCTTTTTGCCTTCCTGATGAGGAAGCCAAGCTAGCTACCAGTGGCTTGTGCTTTGTACGCAGATTTCACACAGGACACTTGCAGTTGTACATATCCTTGGTGTTTCCCATTCATCCGCTCAAAAAGAGTCTGCGTCCATTTGTTACACAAAATACCTGTATAAATGGGTTAATTGCTCATCAAGGACACTGTTCTTTTGTGGTTCTTTCTGCCCATGAGACCTGGGGGCAGATCTGCATCTGCTGAGATCACTGCATGGGGCAGGACTGGCTGCACCCCATCTGTATTAACTGCTTTCCCCTCAGGAGTGTGAGCAGCTGCAGAAGATGTACGGGGGGCAGATTGATGAAAGAACCCTGGAGAAGACCCAGCAGCAGCATATGTTATACCAGCAGGAGCAACACCATCAAATTCTCCAGCAACAAATTCAAGTAGGCCTTCACTCTTTGCTTTCTCCAACTTGTTTGGAGTTTGCTTTCAGGCTGGTTAGCCTGTGAATTTTGGAGGCGATCGCTCAGGGAAAAGTGAAGCTGAGTTATGTTTATGGCTGGCATGTTTGAGTTAAGGTAACCCAGCCCTTTGATGAACAACAACAGCATAATCCTCAGTTACAGTTCGTTCTTTCTGTCTCTTTCCTTTCTGAGAAGAGCTCTGATTAATCTTCAAGCTCATGGGTATTTTTTTCCTTTCCCCCACATGTTTTAGGATTCTATCTGTCCTCCTCAACCTTCTCCACCTCTTCAGGCTGCATGTGAAAATCAGCCAGCCCTCCTCACCCACCAGCTCCAGAGGTAATGAATCATTTCATTTGTTTTGTGCCTAGCTATTGTTATATAGTATGGTGTCCTTGGCCTGACTCACATTGGAGAGACTGACTTTAGCATTCTTCTTGGGGAAAAAAGTCTTTGCAAAGGAGAGATAGCAGTTTAGATGTCAGGCCCCTCCTTGAAATCCTGACTTCTGGTACCACTTCATTTTCTGATTAATCTGATAATAGCGTATAGGGAGCCAGGCACAGGCCCGCTCTGAATTCTGCCTGTCTAAGAAGTATGGATTGTGTGGATATGACAAGCTCTGGACAACATTGCGAAGTATGACTTAATTGTGCTCATGAGTAATCTTTACCTGGACCAAGAGTCAGTTGTTCGAACAGAACATGGGAACACTGAATGGTTTCAAATTAAGCAAGGTGTGCGACAAGGTTGTATTCTTTCACCATACTTATTCAACCT